CCCAAATTATTGTGTCAACCGGATCGGGGTAGCCGGCTGAAACACAAGTGATGTGACCGGTTTGGGATAATCGATCGAGGCACAAGTGGTGTCGGTGCAGGTGCAAGTGCAAGATATAAGATGCAAGTGCAAGTGCAACGTGCAAGTGCAATGTGCAAGTGCAAGGTGCAAGGTGCAAGGTGCAAGTGCAAGATATAAGATGCAAGTGCAAGTGAAACGTGCAAATTCAAAGTGCAAGTGCAAGTATATGACACACAATATGTAACAATGCAAGGCACACATATGCAAACAATGAGGTGCAAATGACCACACATGATAGCGAGCCACGCTCGTACTAACGACCTCACCTAGGAAACCTAAGGTTTAGACCCTTGGAAATGCGGCATCGCCGCCTCTTGTTTTGGTGAGGAAATGTGGGGAGTGGGATCGCCGAGGGTGAATCTCTCCACGGCGTTGCGAAATGTGCCAACTATAAAGCTTTTTCCCATTTCGCAAACTCCTCCAGACTTTGCAAAGCGAGCCAGCTACAAAGCTTCTCTCGCTTTGCCAAGTTCGACCTCCTAGCTTCTCCAAGTAAAGCTGGGGAAACCCAAAGCAAGGGGAGTGAGGAACTCCAACCCATCGGGACTTGTGCTAAGGCTCACAACAAATGGGAGACACTCGGCTCTACGGAGTGCGTTTGGTTACGCACAGGAAGTCCTAACCTAAAGGCTAGCTCTAGGAAATCGACGATCCATCACGCAGGCACGTCGTCGCGCCGACATATGGGCGATCGACCCCCCACCCCCCGCCAGCACTAAAACTAAGGCGCGCTAGAATCTCACCACCGTGACGGTTGCGAACGCGGTCTCTTTGCCTGCGCCAAGCTCAACGACGTCCAATCCATGCTCCAGTGTGCCTCGTAAAACGTGCACAGGACAAAAAAACAATGCCAATAAAGACATAGGAGGCCGGGAGCAGTGAGGTATGCATATTATTTAAAAAATAATAATAATTTTGACATATAAAAATATAACCAAAATATACCTTCGCGAG